TAGGTCGCCAGCGCAATTTAGAATTAAAATTTTCTCACTACATGATCAATATGAGCTCACTTATCCAAGTGGTAGTCCCCGAGTTCCAATTATCTAATTGGGTAGGTGCTGTTGTGATGTTGATTCCGATTGTTAACCAAGTCCCAGCAGCCTCATTGATAGTATCGCACTGTTAATTGGATCACGCAGATAATGGATGCGATAAGGTAATTGCGATCAATTGACATGAAGAAGGATGCAATCAATATCGCCTATTACAATTGAGATGCGAATGCTCAGGTAGCGAAAGGTTTGAGGAAATTCGACACTGACAGCATCGGTATATTCAATGACCTTCAACGTCGTAAACGCCATCAAAGAAAGTCGTTACTCATGATGTTGATGTACCACGGTGGGTCTGTGGGTTCCGACCAGTGAGAGTGCGTACAATGTCAGCTAGCTTCCGCGAACCCGGACCGGGGGGGCAACCGTGAGAACATCGATATTCCAAGGCCAAAAAAAAAAGTGTCATCAATTGGTGCTATTCGAGCGCAGCGGAACCTGTAAGTGTAGCAGGGAGTTCCAATTGACGAGAAAGCAACCCCCTCCAAAGGTCTATACATAAGGTACACGAACCGCCTGGCCTTGGTTCCCTCTAAACTCGCTCGCCCCCTGGTCTAAATTTCTGTCGCGCGCCCGGCCAGGCGGTTCCCCTTCGTCATACTTTACAGCATCGTGCGCGCGGCTCTCCTTTCCTCCCAAACGTTATCCCCCACCAGGAAGAAGTAGTTTAGTGGTGCTTCTTCTGGACCTCCATGGTCTCAAAGGCCAGCCTCTCGGCCTCCTCAGCCTGGATTTGCTGGATGATGGGTCCGAGGTAGGGGTAGTCCTATAATCGAGGGTCAGTCCTCATGTGTCTCTTCGATTCAATCGTTCGGGATGCGCACCTCCTCAGGCTTGGTCCACTCGTTCTTGGGCAGGAGCTTGTGCTGGTAGGAGAGCTGGACGGCGCGGCGGATGCGGTAGACGCGGTCGTAGGACTCCTTGGGAGAGAGGCGCTTGAGGGCCTTCTGGACGATATCGGTCTCCTCCTCGATGAGGTCGTCGAATCTGCAGTCGAAGAAAAATTGGCAATTAGTTTCTATGTTGTCTTCCGCAGCCTCGGTGGCAATTGTTGTGGTCGGTTTGTCGAAGAGTTGCTTACCTCAAGCCGAGCTTGCGGTGGCCGGCAGCGTTGGCGTACCAGTTGGAGAAGGGGACGAAGATGCTCTTCAGGAAGGGACGGGCGAGAATGCCGTCGGCGAGCTGCTTGGAAATGAGCGAAGTCATTGTGGCGGCTGTGTGGTGCGTGGTGGGCGCGGAGAGGAGAGGTTTCGATATAATGCCGCGAAGTACGGTTTTGCGGATCGCCTGAGGTTGGGACTCTATGGGAAATTCGTGGAGCATCCCGGAGAGGCGCAACGATTCGGGACGGACAGGTCATGTGATCATCCTTGAGATTCCGGCACGCGCCACATCTCATGTGGCTCATGATTAGACAGAGTGGCTGGTGAGATGACCCGACAGCACGGACCACCAAGAGGCAGAGGTGCAGATTTCGTAATTGGATCCGGGGCCCGATGAGGTAATTGGAGCTACCAACGGGATGCCCGCCCACGATAGCACCGCAGACCCTGCTGCGGATGATTGGGAATTGCATTTTGTGGTGCTGGGCAAAGTCGCAGGGAACCGGCGGAGGTGGAGCTCCCCTTCTGTGGTCTGGAAGCTTGAAACTTTTTATTCTGGGCTTTTTGGGATTGCGATTCAGAGGTTTTGGACGTCGTCTGAGATGTCTTCTGGACACTTGGCGTCTCTTTCCTTTTCGGTTGCAGCTTTCCTCGCGAGTCACAAGAACATTTGCAACTGTTTGGAGCGAAATAGACATCTCACCAGATCACAAAGCTACCAGTCTTTAACTTGAGACAAACGATACTGCGTCATCTTCCGTTGCTGATCATCCAGGGCTGTAAACAAGAATTGAGAATATCGGCAGCTCCCGGGGGTTGAGCCAGCACCCGAGGAGAGCTTCCCGTCTTCCTCGGCGGTTCATTCGTAGTACTGATCTCTGCTCAACGGTAGAAAAGCAGCGGGCGCGTCATCGCGCAGGTCCCTTCCTTCAACAGCCCATCTCCCCCGTGGACCTGCTCCGGCACATCTTATCCAGCGCTTCAACTGCTCCTTCCTCCCTCCCAGCCCACTAGATTGCGCCAGCCTCCACCTGTAAGAGTACCCTGAACGTGGGGACGTCCTGCCAAAAAAGACAGCCGATAGCTCGCATCATTTTGCTCTCGTGCTCCGTCCCGCTCCACCTCGGCGCTTTTTCGCAATATCCAATCTCCAACTCCCCCGACTGCGCTCCTACTGCGTACCGTACCGACTACCACCACCACCACCACCACCACCTCTCGTCCTGCTCCCCTTCTCCGCCGTCCGCCTCCTCTCTCACCCCTCACTTCCCGATCCCGCGTGCTTGGGAGCCTCCTTCTCGCCAAAACCGTTCTCGATTATCTGCCTAAAACAGCTTTTCCCCCGCAAGGCCAATGGGCTGCGATAACCGCTAGTCGTTCAGTGTCACGGCGGCGTGGGAGCGTTCCCCGCATACCGGGACACTTGGGAAGGTCAAGCATCTACCCAGCTACCAGAGCGAGACGTACACGACAGGCACGAACGGAGAGACGGCCAAAGAGAAAAGACGGCCAAAGAAGCAGCACGAAAGTCGAACAAATCACGACGAATACACCGAGAGAACCGGCTCTAGTTTACCCGCACTTTGCTTCGCATCCAGTTCTCCGAGAACCAGCACACATAGCGGGACATCGCCGCCTTTTCCTTGCTGATACCGTACCCAGCTTGCGCCTAACCTCCGCACTTCTGAATCCCAATCATCCTCAACAGTGAGAGGGGATGTCTCACGACGAACAACCCGACGCTGAACGAAGCGCACCGCACCATAACGACGAAGAATATGGGCCTTACCCGACCTCGACATATCCCAACTACAGCAGCTCGAGAGCGTACCCAGCCACGGCTCCTGCCCGCGCGGCGATAGCTGCTATTGAAGAGGCCGTTGCTGTCATGCCCGACAACGAGACGATTACTGCCTTTGAGCGGTGGGCAGCTGGCGCTTCCGATGCCCAGTTCAACGCCCTGTCCGGTGCCGTGGGAGGCTTTACCTCGGGCGTTGTTACGTGCCCGCTCGACGTTATCAAGACCAAATTGCAAGCCCAAGGCGGCTTCAACCCAGTTGAGAAAGGCAGACATGTCGGACATGGTCCGAAGCTCTACAATGGACTGCTTGGCACCGCCCGTGTGATTTGGAAGGACGAGGGAATACGCGGCATGTACAGGGGACTCGGCCCGATAGTACTGGGTTATTTGCCCACCTGGGCTGTATGGTTTACCGTCTACAATAAGAGCAAGGACTGGTTGAAGCACCGTCATGGTAAGTAGGATTATCTGCCATTGGTGCGTTCTGGGAGTCATGTTGGCTGACTCGAGATGACAGACAACACGGTGTTGATCAACTTTTGGTCATCCATCATCGCTGGTGCCAGTAGCACTGTCGTCACGAATCCCATTTGGGTCATCAAGACTCGCTTGATGTCACAAAGCGTTGCCCATGACCCGGGCAAGTATCATTCGCAGTTCCCGAGATCGGGCAACACCCCAACTTCCAGACCGACGAATCACAGCTCATGGCACTACCGGTCAACAATCGATGCGGCCCGCAAAATGTACACTTCCGAAGGCGTTCTTTCCTTCTACTCTGGTCTCACACCCGCCTTGCTGGGACTCACGCATGTGGCAGTGCAATTTCCAGCGTATGAGTATCTGAAAACGAGGTTCACTGGTCAGGGTATGGGAGAGCCGACGCAGGGCGATTCGCAAGAGTCGCAATGGATGGGCGTGCTTGGTGCTTCGATATTATCGAAGATCATGGCGAGCAGTGCCACATACCCTCACGAGGTTATCCGCACGAGGCTGCAGACACAAAGAAAGCCCGTCGGAGGCGCCGAGTACCTACAAGGTCTGGGGATCAAGGTCCCCTTATCCGAGGACGGCAAACCGCAGCAACCGTTATCACCAAAGTATCGCGGCGTGGTCAGCACCTTCCGGACAATCCTCAAAGAGGAGGGCTGGAGGGCCTTCTACGCTGGCATGGGCACTAACATGATGCGAGCGGTGCCGGCCGCGACAGTGACGATGCTGACGTACGAGTTTGCTATGAAGCATTTGAATCATGCGAGGAGCGAGGGCAAGAGGAAACTGGGAAGGGGTACACCTGCCGAGCCATGATCTGGTAGGGCAGAAGCCAGAGAGAGCGGTCTCATTTTGAAGAAGACAGAAGTGGAGAGAAACTTGTCAAGACAATATGTGCGGTTTAACAGTCTCGAGGGGAAAAGAGAAGATGTTGAGATTAGGAAATGGGGATGGGATTTTCCAGATACCCTTAACTTTGGTCGTCAGGTATAGACAAACTCGATTCAGGTCACGGAAACCAAGTAATAGTTCCCTTTTCTTTACTTGAGAGATGGTACTTCCGACCTATCCCTTCCTCATCTTCATCGCATCCAAACGATGGTTTTCTTTTCTAGTTCACAAACGATTTCGGATACCTAAGGTAGTTCATAGTTGAGAAGCAGGGAGCATGAGCATGCATGGCTTTGTTTATTCCTACCGACTGGGAGTAGGGCGGCTCACTCTTGTAGCATTACATTGGTTTGGCGCGGAGTATACAAGGAGTTCGATACAAACACACACTGAAGCCATATTTGTGTGTTTTCTTCTCTTTTGGTATTTAGCAGCCCGCAGTTGCCAGAGACAGAAACGTGGGCAGAGAAGCGAGGGGGTATAACTACATTAGAAAACCGTGAGACAAACTCCAGAAAAGAGAAACGAAAATAACCCGCGAAGCTCCCATGCTTTCCTCCTTGCCCTTGAATTAGCTTTTGGTCTGCAACTCCTGGTACAGAGGGCCAGTGATCGATCCTGTGGGAGATGTGGCTTCCTCTGTGTCTATCCGGTGAACCCGTCGCGCTGCGTTATGCAACACAATATTGTCCTGGCGTAACGTTCATACTACCAAAGCATTGGGCATCTCAGGACGGGCTACCGTTGCTGGGTCCATGGCTCGGGCCGTGAGGATGTCTCTGCGCAAACGTCAGTTACTTGACCTCGGTATTCCTACTGCTGTATAGCATGTTCTAAGGGGGAGATGGAAGATGGGCAGACGTACGGCCTGATCACGCGCCGAGCGGATTGAAGAGCGGGTATACCTGGTTCGTTATCAGCATACCATTTCACGATCTTTCTGAATGGGTTCAAACTCGGATGAGACGCAGCATCACGCGATATTTGAGAGGGAGAGAGAGGAAGCTCTGATTATGAGACTTACGCAAAGAGGATACAGGCCATCGTGAAGGCAGCTAGAGGAGCCGTGATGGTCTGTGGGGAAGAGGTTTGTCAGTCAGGAGGTTTCCCGTGGGGACGGGTTTCTTGTATTTTCTTGGCTGAATTTCCCTTACCTTTGGCGTTAGGTTTCCCTTCTTCATCTTCTGAGCATCGCCCGACCGAGGACGTATGTTATAGTGTGTTTTGGGATGCGGTGAGATTTGAGGTTTCGTGAGGTGTGAGAAGGGGTGTGTAAGTGAGGTGAGTGGGATCATGGATGAGATGTGGATGGGCTGATTATGGTTAGAGGATTGGGGACCGGTGGAGTTATGCATGTATCCGGAATGGGGAAGTGATTATAGGCATATGAGGTTGGCTTTGCTCTGGAGGGGTTGTTGAATCAGGTTTCGTTCTCTTGTGTTCAGGGGCACGTTTTATAATGGTAAAAGTTTGACAAGAGAAATGGATAAGTGTAGTTTCAGCAATGGTAATGCCTTTTTAGTATAAGCGCTTTCACGTTGATGAGAGACTGATGATTGGTGTTTTGGCTTATCGGGGCTTGACTTACACCACCGGCACGTTGTTGTTCACCCGAAGTATCTTACCATAGTCAAAGGTATGCAAAGAGAGGTGATAGAGACAAAACATGATGAGACAGACATGAGTAGTGCGAGTAAACCTCTGCACCATTTGAATTGGGCTTTGAGTAGACGAACCTTTTCCATCAACTCAGTCTGATGGTGCAAGGATGCGAAGAAGTCGGAGAAAAGCGGCCTTCACATGAGCAGCGGAATGAGAGTGGACCCACACGTGAAATCAACGGGATTCTTTGTTGCGTCTGCCAAAAAGGAGTGAAAAAGGAGGGATTGGCGGTAAATAATCGTGGAGGTTATCCAAGTTCCGCAACACCACGGATTCTCCAAAACCCCCAAAAGGTTAAGCTTGTGATAGCTTCACATGACAAGAGTGGGATTCGAACCCACGCCAATTACTTGACTAGCACCTGAAGCTAGCGCCTTAGACCGCTCGGCCATCTTGCCTTCATGTTATTGTTGGAATTCAGGACTCGGGTGGAGTTTATGGTAGATTTGCTGCGGGTCGTGGTGGGCGGATCATGCTCAACGGAGATATCTTGTTAAGTGGCAACGACGTCTAAAGTGCTCTAAGAGGATAGTAGGGGTTACCTATTAAATGATACGATGATCTCGCAAGCACCTTCGGCCGCTTCATGAGGAATGATGCTAACCGTCAGCTCTTGTTCCCTACCATCAGACAGTCTGATGTTGCGCGTCGCCGGAGTCGTGCTTGTTGCGAAGTACTCTGCTGGGCATAGTGACACAGACGGCCACCATCGAGGCCCTGTCTCGTGATGACCTTCTATGACCATATTCAACATGTTGATGACACCTGCGTACGGCATTGAATTTTCATCCCATTCGTCATCGAGTCGATCGATGATCCATCTACCCATTTCATCGTCATGATAATTGAGCAAGGCTGCGTAACGTTCGTGAGGCCTTGAGGATGTCTGTCTAGCGAAGGCAGTGACGAGTAGAACTTTCTCGCTCGAATGGAGGGAGAAATGTAGGAAACGAGCGTCGTATATCCGGTGGACTGATTCCTCCTTGACTTTGTCGAGAAAGGTTCGATTTAGTCCATCCCAAAGCGCTTTAGGTTCTGCCCCGAGGATCTCGACTGGAGTTCCGCCCATAGGCCGGGTATCGACAGAAATAAAAATTGAATTCCTCAATCTGATATCCTGCAATTCCAAAGCTGCTTCGGAAGTCAAGTGACGTACCAGCTTAAGCGGCTTGGCTCTCTCGTCGTACGAATCCATGGTTAACTCTGCTATCTCTGGCAAACTTGCTGAACGTTGGCTCCGGCGAACAAGGAGTGAACCATGCTCTGCGACCAGAGTCCACGGCCTGTGACGCACAAAACCGGATGGTGTCTTGGCAATCATGATGCCGACTGAAATCCAGCCGCCGCCGTTATATGGGCTTGAAGACATTGGCCCTAACAATTGTGGATCGATGAAGCTGTGATATAGCTGCATTATGTATTCTGCTTCGCCTCGGGAGACAATTTCTTCTTCAAAGCGGTCACAGTAACAGAGCACAGTCTTAATTGAAACCTTCGTTCTGGTCACGCCAACTTCAGGGTCTTCAGACAGCCTTGGCCTGCTGACTAGCTTGATTTTCGAGCATACGAGAAAATCAGATGGTGACTTCGCAAGCAGTCCGCTGTATTCTTCTCGACGTTCGGGGTCCGAGACAGTTGAGGTCCAGGCGAGTAGAGAGAGGTCGTTTGTTTCTTGGAGAATCTCAGACTGCAGCCGCGCGAAGGCTTTCTCTCCTTCGCCGTACAGTAAGGGCATGTTGATACCGAATATTCCGAGAAGGCAGTATGCAGAGTCCTCAATCCGAGTAGTTTGACGCTTTGAGGCCCAAGACATGCGAGTTGCAACGGGGATCTTGAGAAGAGGAGCCTTGCCAATAAGGATGGCCTCGTCGATGCCTGTGATGGACGATAAGAGGGTGGACAGAGTCTCCTTGGAACCAAGCAGCTGCCAGGATGCATTGTAGAAAGTGACAACCTTTGGCGCCAGCAGCTCTTGCAAAGTCCAACCCCGGATGAACCACCGGGAATCAGCTAAGCTTTCGAGGAAAGTGGCCGAGCTAGACAAATCGTCCATATCGGAGAGGTAGGCGAAACAGACCCACGACCGATTGTACCAGCGGAACATTGAGTTGATGGCCTCGGATAGTTCAGCGCTGGACGTTTTGTCGATGCAGCAAGTGTCGACCCATACGTAGCCCAAGTCGAGGGATTTGGCCACTCGGCATGTGTTGTAAATCTTGAGGTAACAGGCCTTTCTCCAGACATTGTCGTCTCTTTGGTATTTGAGTTCCCGGAAAGACACTTCTTCGCTGCCCCAGGTATGAGAGAGGATGGCGTAAGGGAAGTCTGGCTCAATAAAATCCTCCAGCTCAAACGTATTGACGTTAATCAGCCACATGACTTGGCGGTACTTGCAGCCAAATAGGAACGAAGGATATAAGAAAGAGGTTTTGTCTTGCAGATGATGAGGAAACTGATGTGCTCATTGGCGAGCGTAAGGTGTTGCTTCAGGGCGAAAAAGACAGATGAGTTTTTCCAATAGATTGTTGCCTCACTTGAGGCGTACCTACTTGAACACGTAAGACAGAGTCAACGAATTAGAACTGCAGGCAGCAGTGGGAAAGATGTTGACATATCAAAAGGTGCATATGCATCCGCTCAGTGTTGGAAGGCACCTACGCATTGCGCCTACCTAAGGTACTCCAGGATCTGGCTTCCGCCTGCTTCTCACATCTTGGAAGACGCATCGCTGGATCTGTATCCTCACCAGGTCGATGATGGCATCTCGAACCACTGACAGTCAACGGAGCAAAGTAAGATATAGTAAAGGAAATAAGAGGACGGGCGCAAGGCACGGTGTGTAAGAGACGAAAGTGTCAATGACGGCTGGTTGCTCGGCAGGTGAGACAGCGTACTTAATCTCACATCGGTGACATCGGCTTTTAGGCCCAGCCATCTGGTGTTTCCCCCCACAGCAAGCCCGACGCCGGACGGGCACCAGAACGTGCGCTCCCTTGGAGGCTAACTTCACTAAGACGGCCAGGTCGGGGTCGAGGAACGCACGGGCAATGGTCGAAAAGCTTACTGGGCGATGGACAGGGGTGCGAGGACTTTCTTCACTGCTGAGAATGAGGGAAATGGCAGATGAGAGGTTAAGAGAGGTCGGGCGGCAGGGAAACAGCCGAGAGCACGAAAGGCACGAACTGGTGAACCTGCACCTCTTGCTCAATGCTGAGTGTTGCACTGCTGGCTGACCTTGCTTGCTCTCATTTTGGGAGAATCCCAGACACGCAGATTCCGAGGCAGCACCCTTCAGAGGTAGAGCAACCATACAACGTTGACACGGCACCACCACCACCCCCGCCCCAGAAACAGCAACGGCTAATAGTACCGCTGCTCGCGGCGACCCGAGCTTAATAATTAGGCTGAGCCGGACAGAAAGGAGAGACAGAAAGAGGAGGGGAGACTGGACGTGAGTGGGAAGGGAAGAGAAGAGAAGAGAGAGACACTGGACCGAGACAGAGAGACAGACTGGGGACGCCCGCACCCACACCAGCACCAGCACCAGCACCCGCGACGCACCGCACCGCACCGCCAAAATGCAGCAACGCAACACGGCAGGAAATCTGCATCGCATCAGCCCCCTGGTCCCGGCTGAAGCTCTGGCCACGGCCGCCTGTGATTGGCTCATCTCGAGGACGTCCTCTTCGACCTCCTGTTTACCTCTCAACTTCCCTCGATTCCTGTAACCCCCTCCCATCTCTTGCAATTTCGCATTCTTTTCCCATCGCATCTGGATCGCATCACCAAAGCATCGCCTCTGTTAAAGTCGCACACTCTCTGCGATCTCCCCATTGTATACCTCTATACGGATACCTGTACCCATCATACACAGCATATATCCTAGCTGAGTCTATATATACCATGCCTGTCGAGCTTCGCAAGCGCAAGGCCCCCGAGCCTGCTCCGGCTCCGGCGCCCAAGAAGGCCTCGTCCAAGGTCGCCAAGGCGGCCGAGAAGGTCAAGGGCGCCGTCAAGGGCAAGGCCGAGAAGCCCGCCGAGAAGCCTGCTGAAAAGGTTACCGAGAAGCCCGTCGAGAAGCCCGCCGCTGCCAATGGCTCCGGCAAGAAGGTCAAGGCGGTTAAGGGTGAGACAATCGACCTCGACGGCTTCGGCGGCGACATTGAGACCAACGATGGCGAGAAGACGACCCTCAAGGAGCTCGTCGACAAGAGCAAGGCCGGCGTCGTCCTCTTCACCTATCCGAAAGCCTCGACTCCCGGATGTGAGTGTGTCCCTGCAGCGATACATGCTTGGTAATAACTACCTCGAGTCGGATTCATCATGCTAACGAGCTTTTGATATCCAGGCACCAAGCAAGCCTGCCTTTTCAGAGACTCGTACGAGCCCCTCACCAAGACGGGTTTCGCCATCTACGGCCTGTCCATGGACTCGCCCAAGGCCAATACCACCTTCAAGGAGAAGCAGAAGCTGCCTTACCCGCTGCTCTGCGACCCCAAGGCCACTTTGATTGCTGCCATTGGCTTGAAGAAGCCGCCCAAGAGCACCCAGCGCGGCGTCTTTGTCGTGGACAAGGCCGGCGAGGTCCTCATCGCCGAGCCCGGTAGCCCCGCGGGCACCGTCGACGTCGTCACGGCACTGATCGAGGGCGGCGATGTCGAGGGTGCCGAAGAGGCCGCGACCGAGGCGCCTGCCGCCGATGCCGAGGAGGAAGAGGCGGCGGCTAACGGAGAGGTCAAGGCCGACGAGGAGAAGAAAGAGGAGGCCGCCGATGAGGATGACAAGAAGGATGAGAAGAAGGACGAGTGATTGGGTCATGGAGCTGCAGTGTAAGTATAATTTCGTGACGGAAAATGCGTTTGCAATTGGAGGGCCTGGACAAGGCAAGGCGAAGCAGGATTTTCTTGTATCCGTATAGTAGCTGGGAATTGATTGTCTGGCGTTGGGCGTGTGCATTGCCTTTTTGACTCTTCGTTGGCACATTCGAGATGCACAGCTCTGCAATGTGTTGCGAAATTGCGTGCCATCGTGACCCACGGCCAATTCGATGCGATGAACCCCCCGGAAATTCCAGCGATGTAGCTTTACAAGGGGAAGTGGTGAAGTGGATACTTTGGTCCAGGAGCTGGTGGTGCTGGGTTGCAAATTCAAGCACGGCTATTGCTTCGACCGGCAAAACCTCGGCCCTCCGGTTCCTTGCCAGAAACTGGAGCACTCTCTCCCGTCCCCGAACCAAGCCCCAGGCGCCGGAACGCTCACATCCAACCTCAAGCTGGTCATCGAACCGTTTGCCAATCGAAACCCGCCTCCCCAAATCTCCCCTCCACCGTCTACGACGTCGCCAAAGATGGCCTCCAAGGCAATTGCGAAGGCTGCTGCAGGCGGTCTCGTGGAGATCTCCCAGGTACGAGCCTCAATTGATCCTGCGAAAAAGCAGGGAAAACCAAACACCATCACGAACCATCACGACCACCATACACACCCACCACCTTCCGAAGAACCATTGAACGATCTCAATTGAGCCAACAGTAGCTAACCTCGTCTCCTTGCCCTCCTACAGAAGCACACTCTTCAGTCCACGGGCATCTGGGAACGCATCCGCCGCTCCCTGGCCATCGACCCCAACCGCTCCTCCGGCGTGCCCTTGAACCCGACCTTCCGCAACCCGACACCGGGCGCCAACGACCCCCTGGCCTACGACGACCCCGTCACCGTCCCCGCGGGCGACATCGCCGACAACCCGTACTGGAAGCGCGACGCCCGCCGCAACTACCCGGCCATCAGCGTCGTCAACCAGGCCGACGTCGTCGGCCTGCTGGCCGTCGGGTCCGCCGCCAACCCGCGCGTCGAGCTCATCGGCGAGGCGGGCGAGAAGGCCCTCGTCGCGGCCAAGGAGGAGGGAAAGACCACAGGAATCGCAGCCTACCTCGAGAAGAACGCCGCGCAGGGCGCCGTCGAGGCGAGCAAGGAGGCGCTGTTTACGAATGGGTTGCCGCCGACGCCGAGTGGTGAGGATTTGAAGAGCGGAAAGTGGGATGTGCACAAATACAAGGTCAACGAGGAGCAGACCTACGGTGAAGGGTGAGTTTTGGTTCTTTCTCTTCTTAATTCTCCTTGGGAAGGAGGGGGGCCATCCTGTGGTTTGGTGACGATGAGGAACTTTGCTAACCGTGAGTGAACAGCTACCCTTGCCGGACTTTTGCTTGAGCAATTTGGGAGTCGAGGGATTCGCTGTACAGTGTGGAGAGAGGAGGGACAATTGTAAATATGAAGGGCACTAGATTCCATTGAAACGTTTTTCTTTTCTTCACTCGAGGTCTCTGTGCTACTCTGTCCGTCCGTTGGGTATATCACCCCCTTCTCATGATGTAGCCGTTATTGAAACTTCTACGGCCATCAACAAAACCACTTTCTAAAGTTTCTTCCTCAATAAGCCAAGAAACAGCAAGATATCAACCCCCCCCCCCCCGGGTCAAATTTCCTTGGCCTCAGGGACCTTTACATCGCCAGCAGCCGCAGCCTCCGGTGCAGAAACCACTTCACCCGTCATGCGCTCAATAATCTTGACTTTGCCCTGCGCCCTCTTCAACCTGTCGTCAAAGTCGTTTACGGCGTCGTCGCTGTTCTCCTTGGAGAGCGTGTCCGGCTCGACCAGCGCAAACGCCGTCGTGACGTTCTTTTCTAGTCTTGCATTGGATGGCAGCGGCGGTAGGGAGCAGGTCCTGTTTTGTGACTCTGATGGCGGCTCTGTTGATAGTTGGGCCTGCTCGGCCGAGCCTGAAACCGAGGCTGAGGCTGCTGCCGAAGAACTGGTCGGCTTCTTGGTGGTGCTGCTGTTCTTCTGGGGGAGGGAGAGTCTGTTTGCCCATACGACGGCGCGGGCGTGTATCCTGCCACTCTCGTAGAATTTCTCGTAGCCCTTTGCGAGGCCGACGGAGCGGCCCTCGATTTTGCCCGCTTGGATGCCGTCTTCGGTGCCTTGGCGGAAGCCCTCTGAGAAGAATTGGTCTTCGAGGGTGAGGACGTCGTCGAAGGGGTCCAGAGACATGGTAGGCGATGACTTTTATGTAAGGTGAATAGGTGGAACTTGGCTTGTTGGGATTGAACGCCTGAGAGTGCCTCTTCAGGTTGTAAGTCGTGGTGAGTCTTGGTAATTGACGTTGAGAGTTGATGGAGGGGTGCTCTGAAATGGTGGCGGGGCAAAATTGTCAAGTTTGACTCAGCGAGCTTGTTGGCTAGTGGTCAACACCCAAATGTTTCGACCCTCAACTTTTAAAGATGAAATCCTACGATGAGCAACCCAGCAACATGTAATTACATAAATACCTATGGATCAGGTTTCGTGTCTCCAAAAAGAAAAGTCATCACCCAAGAAGCGATCATGGGGAAAGTCTAATCCAACGGAACGTGGGGAATCGAATTCTAAGTCTACCTCATAACTAACATAGCAAAACCCTCAATTATACGGCCAATGTAGCAAGTCAAGTCTATATGATTGCTTCTCTACTGCAACCCGAAAAACATACCACCATTAGCACAAACAACCTGTCCCGTGCACCACGCAGAGTCCGCAGAGACAAGCATGCCCACAATACCCGCAATCTCCCCAACATACGCCGGCCTCCCGCCCTCCTCCTCAGCGGCCTTGACCAGCTCGTCCGAGTCGATCCCCTTCCTCGCCTTCATCAGCGGCGCGTGCTCGATGAAGCCCTTGATGAAGCGCTTGAACTCGGGCGTGTTGCCCGCGTACATCTCGGTGAGCACGGGACCGGGGTTGATTGCGTTGACGGTGGCGTTCTCGCTGAGCTCGCGGGCCCATGTGCGCGTCATGGCCTCGAGGGCGGCCTTTGTGCCGCCGTAGACGCTCTGTTCGGGGAAGCCGGCGGAGGAGCTGACGGAGGACATGTTTACGATGCGGCCGGAGCGGTCGGTGGGCAGGTAGGGTTGGACGGCTTGGGTTAGGAGCAAGGGGCCGAGGACGTTTACGCGGTAGGAGACGTCGAATTGGGAGACTGTTATGGCGGGGAGGAGGTTGTTTTGGGCGACGCCTGCGTTGTTGATGAGGATGTCGATTTGGAATTTCTTGTCGGTGTTGAGCTTTTCGAAGTGGGCTTTTGCGGTTGCGACGAGGGATTGGGGTCCTTCGGGCGTGCCCATGTCGGCTTGGACCGCGAGGGTTTGGATGTTGTGTTTTGTGCTAAGGTCTGTTGCGAGTTGTTCGGCTGGGGATTTGGAGGAGGGCGAGGTGTAGCCCAGGATGAGGTTGCAGCCTTTTGCGGCGAGGTGCTCGACGATGGCGACGCCGATGCCTGGATGGTGAGTTTGCGTTAGATGGTGGGTGATCCCATGAAGCTTGTCGTTATGAAAGTCTTACCTCGAGAGGCGCCGGTCACGATTCCGAGCTTGCCATCGAGAGAACGAGACATTGTGATGGAGCTTTCGAACAGTTGCTGACTCCTTGCGAGTTGATTACGTTTGTAAGCAGAGAAAGGGAGCAGGAGTATGTTTGCAGTATCAAAGAAGACAAGACGAGAGACACAGAGAAGAGTCCGGTAAAGGTTCACGATGAAAAGAGAACGGGAGCCCAGGGATGCTTCTTATAAGCTACCTAGACTATGGAGTACAGATACCTTACCTTACTCAGGGACTGGAAACCCTACAGGCCTACCTAGGCAGGGTTCGATTGTCCCGAATGAGTAATGCTAGCAGCTCTCGTGACCCATCAGAAACTTGTTGAGCGACGAAGCAGTTCCCGCCGGCACGTTCCATTGGGCGGGATCTGAACTTGTCAGGTCTTGATGTCGTGGGACGTGGATGGATGGGGGAACTCCAGTCGGTGTTTCTGGGTGAAAGCTACCCCGCTATCGCAGAGCTATGCGCTGGAGTTTCCGTCTGTTGTGCCCCGCGGTCGGTGGGCATCCCACACCTGGCACACCCCCACGTCATTCTCCCGCGCCAATCCTGGGCCGTGGGCTCGACGCCGCCCGGGGGACCACGATTTTTGGTGGTCCTGGATCATCGTGGATTAGCGTTTTGTCTTTGAGGACCAGGAGGGCCCTTTCTGGCTGGACTTTTGTGTTGGACTGAGATATGTACTTGACCATTTCCGAATTTCAGAAGCGCTATGAGAATGGAATAAAAGCAAAGTCCGATATCACCGCACAACTGAGAGTATTCCGGCTTGCATACAAATGGTACCTAGTATCCGAAAGCGGACATGAACCTCAATCACTTACCCAAAGCTCGTGTACTCGTAACTTCTAATTGATGGAAACAGATATTTAAAATATGAGAATGTGGATGTCTGTGCATGTATTTCAACAGATAGAGTCATGCTGATCAAGGGCTCTTCCACCAGTCTTGCAAACAGGAAATACTTGTCTGATAGACGGGGAAGCTTTGATAGTGTCTTAGGGCGTAAATTTGAAGGCTGCCAGCATAAGGTTGATTCGGCTAAGTCTACACAGGCCTTTTCTCTGAGAGGCACATCAATAAACTGGAAAGCAGTGGAATATCGTTGCGAATCAGAGCGTTATGGATTCTCAGGCTTCATGTCGAGATTCATTGATGGCACCAACCACCAAAAACGACTAGAACCAGAGTTTGAGAGAAATACACGTAAATGAAGCTCTTCGATGGTATTCTGGACAAAATATTGCAAATTATTTGTAACATGGTATCATTTGACGTTCACAACCTGAGAGGCTTGCACCAAGGTTTGCGAAAATATGGCAAAGTTCTTGTTCATCACAAGTTCTTGGACAGCGTAGCTTGTATAGAAATACCAGAGCTGAGCATCTGGCGGGGCAGTTTTGAGCGACGCTCGGAGCCTTGTGCGGCGGTGGTGGGGTTCTTGCAGCCACCTCATGGTCCAACGACCAGGGTCTTTCCAAAAGTCTACACCACACTCCCCTCCTCAGCGTCTCCCATCGCGGAATCAACCCACCACCACCTCGACTCTTCAGCCTTGCGCTCAAAGCTCCCGTCAGTTCCAACTGAACCCACGTCCGTTCATTTACAGCCCCCACGACCCAGACACAACCGCCCACCATGGATATCCGCCTCCTCAAGCCCGCCGACCTCCCCCTCATACAGCACGCCAACCTCGAGAACCTGCCCGAGAACTACTTCCTAAAGTACTACCTCTACCACGCCCTCTCGTGGCCCCAGCTCAGCTATGTTGCCGTCGACGTCTCCCGCCCCAAGCGCACCCCCTACGACTACCCCAAGATCGTCGGTTACGTCCTCGCCAAGATGGAGGAGGAGCCCACCGACGGCGTCGCCCACGGCCACATCACCAGTCTCAGCGTCATGCGCACCCACCGCCGTCTAGGTATCGCCGAGAAGCTGATGCGCCAAAGTCGTACGTCTTGCCCCTGTCCACCCCTCCAAGCTACCTTTCCACCGTTCCCAAGCTCCTTTTTCGGCATTCTTATTCACCGACTGACTGACTGACACACACCACAGAACTCGCCATGGTCGAGACCTTCGGCGCCCAATACGTCTCCCTCCACGTCCGCGTATCCAACCAGGCCGCCATCCACCTCTACCGCGACACCCTCGGCTTCAAGAACGAAAAGACGGAGAGCAAATACTACGCCGACGGCGAGGACGCCTACTGCATGAAGCTCGACCTGGGCTACATCCGCGAGCAGATCCAGGACGAGCGCGACCGCGAGGAGGAGGAAGCCGCGGGTGAAGCTGCGGACGAAGGCGAGGCCGTGGGCGATGTTGGGCGCGATCCGAATGCGCCTGCACCCTCTGCTGCTGATAAGAAGCGCAAGGTCAAGGTCGGTCGCGGGTTGGGTGTTGGGGAGCTCGTTGAGAAGAATGAGAGCAAGAACTAAGGTGGAGCTCCCTGGGGCAGAGTTGGCCAGATTCTCGCTCTGATCGCTATGAGATGGGCTGTGATGAACCGGGCGCGGGCAAAAGATTTGCTCCTTTCCTCACTTTTGGGACAGCGTAAGCGTCTGTTCGTGGCTTGGGTGGGAAAAGCATCAGGCAGATGGCACTTGGCAGGTTGATGACGCAGCTTTTCGAACTGTTACCGCCATGTGGTTCCGAAATTTTCGTTGTAATCTCTCATGCCATCAGGAGGACAGACGGAAATGTAGAGAGCTCAATGTTGGGACGAGAATGAGGTGGCTAGCACGTCTATACGAGCTTGACCTGTGCAGTGGAGTTCAAAAGCTTTATACGATCATGTTCATGACTGGGTTATGGCGCATCATAGCAAGGTACCCAAAACAAGACAATAGACGAGGCCATTGGTGGCGGTATCAAATGGAAAGAAAAGTTTCCTTGTTATCTCTACATACTATACACTTGTCCGGTTCCTTGTCCATGAGGTATGTAAATAAGTATGAGAGTGTGTATGTGGACTATCTACCACACCCCAGACTTCTGATCCTCCGCGGCCAACTCTCGCGCAAACTCCGCGTCCGCCTCGACCTTGAGTTTTTCGATATTCCTCGACAACTCGTCAATCTCCTCCTCTAGGTGCTGCGTATCGTCATCGCCGCCTCTCCCGCCGCATCCCCCACCACGGCCCCGGCCCCAGCCTCGACCACCGCCGCAGCGTCCTCTTCCGGGACTGCTATTCCGCATCTCGGTCCTCGCTTTGTCTAGCTCCTCCACCCTCCTGGCGATGTCCTTCTCCATCTCCTCCACCACCTTGAAAAGCGCCTGGGACGAGGGCGGTGTTGCCGTGGATGGGGCAGGGGTCATGCCACCGCCGCCGTTGATGCTGGGGCTCCTGTTACCCGCTGCTGGCACTGGCGGCACTGCTGAGAATGACCATGACCCGGGCAACCCTCCCCAGGGACCAGGACCAGGAGGACCAGGATGACCAGGAGGACCACTGCCTGGGAAACCACCCGGCATGGAACCTCTACCCGGCCCTGGAGGTCCCCACGGTATGCTCCAAACATTCGGCACAGGAGATGCGTTATTGGGGAAGTTGGAGATCGGGGGAGTGCCGTGTACCACGGGTGGCGGGGGAACGTGAACACCAATCGGCGGGACAAACACTGTCGGCCCTCCCCACGGCGCCGGTCCGGGACCGTGATGTTGCTGGTGTTGTTGATTTTGTTGATGCTGCTGCTGTTGTTGATGCTGTTGGTGTTGCTGCTGCTGCTGTTGGCTGTGTCGACGCTGCTGCTCTTGATGTTGTCTTTGCTGCTCTTGGTGTCGTCTCTGCTGCTCCTGATGCTGTCTTTGCTGTTCCTGGTGATGTCTCTGTTGCGCCTGGTGCTGCTGCTGTTGCTGCTGGTGTCGTTGGTGCTCTAGCTGATGTCGACGTTGGTGATCATGGTGATTAGGATCTCCTCCGGGTCCACCACGACCGCCGCTCCTCCGCGCTTCTCTTTGTGCTCCCCTTTGCTCCCGCCTCGCTTCCCTATTCTCCCTCCTGCTTTCTCTCCTCTCCTCCCTCCGCTCCCTCTTCTCCTCTTTTCTCCTCGCGCGCCGTTCCTTCCGCTTCTCCTTGCGCGTTGCCCGCTGCTGGCGTTTGAGTTTGCGCCAGTCCTGCGTGATGCTTCTAATTTCCGCTCTGAGGGCCTTCTCCTCAGCCTTTTTCGACGCAGCAGTAGCTGCTGTTGCTGTACCTTCTGGTCCTTTCTCTGGCTGCTGCTGAGATTGCGTCGCCGCTGTGGACCCGGCGGAACGTATGTCCTCGCGGAGCTGCGCAATATCGTCTTTCGTCACGGGCTGTTCTGGGTGTGATAGCCAAGTGGTGATACGCTGCTTGTAGATGGGGAGCTGTGAGGGATAGAGGTCTTCGTAGTCTGGCAGTGAGCCGACGGAGGATGCTGAGGATGCTGAGGATGAAGAAGAGGCGGAGGAGGTTGAGATGGAGCGCTGGTCTGAGGGGTACCGGCCGGGAGGTCGACCGCGGCCTGCTACTCCGCCTCTGCCGCCATCTCCGCTCTCATGGCGAGCGTGTTGTTGTTCTGGGCCGCTGCCTTGGTAGAAGGGATGCTGTGGGTTCGGATGTGGAATGATAGGTGGCTGAGGGTGAGGTGGCCCTGTCGGGGAAAAGGGTCCTGGAACATGGCCGGTACCGCCAAACATGGGCACCGGTGGCGGACCCGGAGGTGCAGGCGGCGGAGGAGGGGCCCACCCGGGTCCGGCATAATGTGCTTGCGCACGCGGCGTAGTGGTGCTTCCAAACCTGATGCCGTTCTCGTCCGCAATAAGGTTGCCTACTCGAATACCGTTGCTGCCTGCGACAATGCGGTCGCCAATGTTAATGCCGTCCGTGGAGACAGTGATACCGCCAAAGCTCCAGCTATTTCGTGATTCGTTGGAGCCAGACTGAGCTTGCTGCTGGGTTTGCATCGCGGGCCCTTGACCAGGATGCGCTGGGAACGGTATGGGCGTGGGACCGCCGCTGCCACTTCCATCACCGAGACCAAGATCACGGCTGCCGCCTCCGATAGCAGGATTCTCAGCGTTTCTGTCAAAGGACCGGTCCCACGCGCCCGGCATGTGCAAATCGTCCTCCGCTACCTCAGGTACCAGCGTGATGAGCATGCCCCTGGGCCGGAAGAACCCCTCGTTCCATTGCGCGACCACACCCTCTGCTTCCTCCCTCCTCGTGCCCGAAGCAGCGGCCGCCGCGCTGGGATCGGTGTCCCTGTCAGCGCGGATCTGATCCAGTTGCGCCGAAGCGTGAGCACTACCGCCGCTGATGCTCTGCCCTGTACCGTGTCCATTCGATGTGGCAGCAGCAGCGGCAGCAAGAGCTTCCTCCTCGGCCTGCAGCTTACGATCGATGACGGCCTCGTTCCGCGCTGCAGCGTGGTGCGGTATCAGGCAATTCAGGAACGTCGCCCAGTCCTGCTGCGTGACGTCGCGAGGGGCCCAGGCCGGGGAGTAGGGTACGTCGTCCGGTGTCGAGGTCGGGGTGACGGTCAGTGCGTGGACGAGGAGCTGGTCCCTGGATGACGGAGCAAGTGCCGCGGGCGCCGGCCTGGATTCGAAATAGGATGCCGTGAACTCCGAGTACGCTGTTGTCGATGCCGATACAGACCCGGCGAAAGATTGAGACTGGTGAGATCCTCCTCCAGTCGCCGCGAGAGAGCGGCTGGAGAGGTCGAGGCTTGCATTCGAGCTATGATGGTGAACACCACCGCCGCCGCTGCTGCCTGGGCCACCGGTGCGGGGTGTCAATGGCGGGGTGTAGATGACTTCGCTGTGTGATGAGGCGTGCGAAGAGCCGCGCGATGCAGCGTCGTCGGCGCCATGATGAGACGAGATGTGTGGTGAGTTTGAGGGCGGATTAGACGGCCGGCCAGAGTTTGAGTAGATGTCTGTCTCGGAGTACGGTGGAGGAGGCACGTCGTCGAGTTCGGGGTCTCGCATGGCCGCCATTCGCGGTGGGGACCTGTGCTCGGTGTGGGATGATATGTTGTGAAGCTGGAAGCAGAGTTGTCGAGACTGGGAAATATCTGATTCGCGACGATGTTCAAATTATCAAATTGTTCACTGAACTGGTGGGTCAAGGAGAAGAGAGTAAGGTAGGTAGTCTGCGACGAGAGGTGAGATGGAAAAGAGGCCAAGATGAGTGAACCTAGTACTTTGAAAAACGGCACTACGGCACACGGCGGATGAAGAAAGTGTGGTAATACAAGGCACTTTGATGAGCTTATTAGCTAGCTGATTGTCGTAGCTTGGCTGGGCCAAGGTTGGGCCTTCCGTTGGCCGTTTGACTCAATCCTTCTCTCCTCCCCTCCATCATACTTCTCCAAATCTCAACCTTGCAAGAACAAATAGCTATGCTTTCCCACTAGCGAACCTCTCTGACCAGTTTGTCCCCCCGTTCGCGTAGCCTTACGACGTCTAATTCCCACCCGTCGAACGGTGAACCACAGTTCGTCACTCAATAGAGAGGGTCGGGGGTCAAACCCCACACCCCTCGGGAGCCCAAGCGGTGCGGCCGAGCCCACGCCAGGTAAAGATAAGCATCAACCTTGTTTGAGGGTGACCCTTGCGGTCCACGGCGTAGTCAAAAGTTGCGAGGGGCACGCGTTTGTTCGCAAACCCCGATTGTTCAAGGTTTCCCCTCCCCCAATGAAATGAAAAGCCACCGCCAAATTGAATCCTGGATGAAAGCAGCCCGCAGTCACTTTCTTCGAGAAGGCTCTCTATGCTGCAACGCGCTGACGCGGCCTCTTCGGAGGCAGCAATACGCCATCAGTGTAATCCCTCCACATCAAGCCACATAAGCCTGCAATCCAGTGGGTCTCTCTCCCATGCCGTTGGAAACGCCGCCGCGACCTCTCGAGCTTGTGTTACCCCTCCAAACTGAACGCCGTGCTGCCGAACCAACCGACCCTAGCCCTAGAGAGAAGGGGCCCAAGATTGAACCGCGAATTAGTATACTTATACAGAACCCAGGCTATGCATACGCCTGGTATCATTCAATAGCTGGGCCAGGGCTGAAAGTTCGCTTTCGTCTTTGGGCCACGAATCACCCCCACGGCCGCGGACGCCGCTGTCGCGTCCCCTGCAGCGTTAAACTTGCTAGGCTTTCCCCTAGAGACATATTCCAGAGGCAGGACTCATCGGTCAGCCTCCGTGCTCCAGAGATGGAAATCGACATCTTCTGGCTTGTAGTGATCCGCGATGATAGTGGACAGATGGTTCCGCGAGTGTGCGCCACTGTGAAGCATGTTAGTTTTGGCTCAACGCCGTCATGTTTGGGATCATGGACTTACAGATTGGTAATGTAGGTGTCGAGCAGCTCGGGAGGCACAAATTCACTAACTGCGCTGCGAACGTCGACACCGTTGACCATGGCTCCGTCTGCGAAGCTGACATGGCCCATAGAGCTTCCCCATTCTACGAGGCTTTCTTCGTCAAAGTAGCTCTCTGGACAGAGCTTGTAGACACCGCTGAGAATAATCACCGGGTTGCCCTGCTCCTTGGCTGCGCGTGCAATCACACCAGCGCCTGCATCTGTCAGGATGCCGCCGTTGGCCAAAACGGCTCTGGCTCCCAGAATCACCTTGTTAATCCGGGGCATGTAAGCCATCAGACCGCTGTTGAGGATGTTGATGGCACTGATGCCCGCTGCTGCAAGCTTCTTCCTGAAAGATGCATATGGCGGCTCCCCACCGGAGCAGGCAGCCGTTCCGGCAGTGATGAAGAGGGTGAACTTTCTTCTTGTTGCAGCGCGCAGGATGAACTTCTGGACCGTGGCTGAAGGCTGGTGCACCAACACATAGTCTCCGGGGTGAATCTGAACATCCGCAGCTCCTGCAATCTGGTCGTCCACCTGGCCGATCTCGTCCTTGAGCTCCTCGATACCCTCGCAGACCTCTGATCTCAGAGCGTGTACCCTAGTCGACTGTCCACGAAGGGGTGTCGAAGCGCCAGAGTCCTTGCCAAACGGCGATCCGGCCATGATGCCAGCAGTGTCCACTGGGGGCGACGCCTCGAGAAGGGAAAATAGAGACTTTGAGACGTGGAAAGAGCTCGCGGACGTGAGGAAACCGGGGCGAACTGGTCTTGGGCCGCTCGTGATGTAATCTGAACCGGCATCCTGCTTGGTATATGTAGAGGGAGGCCATTGGTGCTCCAGCTTGGAGGGGTCTGGCACTGCTGTCGTCGGGGTTCCTCCAACTTCTGTGGCAGTCTCACTAAAATCCTCGTTTCGGTCCTCGGCAGCCTCGTCTCGGATCAGGCTCAACACGCGTCTAACGATGTTGCCAACGACCAATTCCTTGGGCTGCGCGGCGATGAGGCGCAATCCAATCTGCTGTACCTTCTCCAGCAACGAGTCGACGTCGTTCCATTTCGACTTAGCCACGACCTGAAGGAGAATATGTGCGGTCGCGACAGCGCAGAGCTCGGAGCCCTGGATCTGCCGTCTTTTCAGGAGACTGGAGGATTCGAGAATTAGCATGGCGAAACCAGGATAGAAGAAGATTATGCGGCTGGCAAGATACGTACGAGATGAGACTGTCAATTGAAGCTTCCAAGGGTTTACCCTTGAGGGTTTTGAGGTACCGCTCGAGGTCCCCCGCGCTGGGCTTCACGGTAGCCATTTTCGGTGGTGGGTGCTGTCGCCGAAGTCAAGGTCCGATGTTGGGAGGGGTGGGAGTGAGTCGTCGCAAAGACTCTTCGGGATTGATCGATGGGGGTTACTGAAGTCGCAGGATATTCCGGAATGGTAATCTGGTAATCTGGCTGTCTTCAGTCACTGCACAATGTGGATGTACCGATCAATGGCCGTTGGTCTAGCTTTGGGCGTGGACTGTATGGAGAATTGGAAATTGTGCGCAAACGGTTGTGACTCAACTGTGAAGCTCAGAGAGGGACAATGAACGACCCCTGTCACGCTAAAAATTTCGAGGGGCATTGGATGACCACAAGCTCCGTCTCGCACCTCCCTCGACAATTGGACCAGCTGGCAACGGTAATTGACAGCCTTCGACGGCGGGCTAGTCTCGGCCCGAAGCAACCCGGATTGAGAGGAACACCCGTGGACCTCCAGGTGCCCCCAATGACACCTCAGCGGAAGCACTCCACTGCTCGACTACCCCTCCATCACTGCAAAATGACGTTGGCGCGCTGAATTTCTGCTGTAAGTGATGCGTTAGGGGCATCAAGCGGTTGGCTATCGCACTCGGGCTGCGAGCTGCCCGTCATCTACCAGGTTGACAGGAACCCTGAGGTTCCTTGCTTCTGGGTCGAAAATGTGCCCTGGAATGCCACCAACTGCTATGTCTCAAAAGCAAATAGGCCGTTCTGATATTAACCTCTTCATTTGGAATCTGATTTTGTTGCTAGTTGTCTCTGCTTCTCAGAGTCCCTGTCTGCAAAATTAGTCCACCCAAACATCCTAATGTTGTGTTCAGAGTGCTTCACTGTAAGTCAAGTAAACTGCGGCTTTATTCTATCGAATTTCTGAGGAGCTGGGAAACGTTCTCGATATACTTTATCAACACGACTTTTGTTCCAATGATTTACGAGAAAGCATGTGTGACATTGCGCCTATAGTGTCCATAGGAATAAGCGTAGAGGCAATGCATCAGGATGGCATGTCAAGTTGGCTCAGGTCAAACATCTATCTTATACCTCAACTTTCAACTAAAGTTTTTCTTCCCATCTCTGGCATCTGAAGCATTCTGGCAGTATCAGCGGTCTGTGGTAGGAATTCTTGTGAATTTCCGCAAATCATGTCCTAGGCTGCGACTTGGGTTGTGAGTTGAGACTAGAAAATGTGCCATTCAATTGACTTCTCGGAAGCAACCACACCCAACATGACAGGGCACTCGTACGAGCATCGGATGACAGAAATCATCTCTGTTATTAGAGGTGTAGACAATAGTCATGTATCTTGGCCGCGACTCTATTGAATTAGTGAAAGGTCTCCATATGGTTCTGGTTCAACGAGGGGTTTTTTCTCAGGTGGACAAAAGGAACTGCCTGGGCTTGGGATGAGAGCTCAGAGCAAATGGTTGAGCGGCATTAGAACACGGATACGAAGAGTGATGGATCGGAATTGCGATGCCCGAAAGAGGCCGTATTCCGCCAAAGATTTGGATGCTGCAGATTCAGAGTGCCCGCAGACAGCGGCGCCCCGATTCGTGCCCTGTCGGCCCTGTCGCTCGCTGTTCAATCAAACCCTCAACAACGACAGCAAAAGTGGAGTGGCTCTCTTTCACATGGGAAAAAGACGAGCACACAGTTCAAGATTACAGCCAGAGAGCAAGGTAGCTCGGTATCGGCTGATGGATGTTTTCAATCCTTTCACACAAATCCTTGCTATTATGAGCGAGACCTATGCCTGTGGCAGAGAAAGATACTGCTGGAGATGGTAACATAGAAAGGACATATGACATTGCAGGAAATAGTGTGTATGGAAAGGTCAACTGATTCATACCTATGTACCTTACAGGCTTAGCCAGGGAGTTCCGCAGGTACCTTACTATTATCCCACTCCTCATCCTGTCAGTTTGTGTTGGGGAAGATAGATACCTCTGAATGTGGGCTGAGGTACATCCATTACGTAGCCGCTTGGCGGCAGCTGGCCCGCTCATCACCCACGTCCTGCATCTTCAAAAAACTGCAACAGCGAGTGGAAAAGATGAGGCGGAAAGAGATAGTTGTCCAGTGGTCCAGTGGAATAGAGTGAACAATTCGACACGTGAACCTATCTTCATTGCCCATTCCCCCACAAGGGTCAGCAGTCAGTGTAACCCCACGGTCAGCCCTGGACCAATACCGCCAATACTGGCCGGCATCAAACCGTTATCCCAATGCCACCACGGTCCAACCCGGCCAAACCCAGCAGATTTCCATAGTGTTGAGCTGCTGCTGCTGCTGCTGCACCTACCTTACTGTTGCTCCCCTCCGCTTGCTTG